TAAGGATACTCTTGCCAAGAAGAGTTTTCTGGACCCATTGGCATGAGTCCTTACTGGGGATGGCCAGATGCCATTAAAGATACARGTCATCTGCTGGAGGTATGTTATTTGTGCATTTATCTATACATCAACATTATGATTCTGATTTGGATGCAGGAAGARAACATGAGTTATCAGTCTTGAGTAACAGTTACATTTTTATAGAAAAAGTGTATTATGGCTTTGTATTTTGGCAAATTGTAAACTTTGTTGGCATAAACAAATGTTTCCAAAGTCCAGCTTTGGAGCCTACAAAACTCAGGCCCGCATCTCTATCAGTGGTAAAGTCAACATGTCAAATGTCACCTGTGAGATTTCCTTAGTCATAGGCTGTCAGCTTTCTCTATGTAATATATTCCAGCATTCTGAAACTGCCACATTTAATAAAGCGGAATCATACACTCTTAAATCTGAAAAGAACCTGATGCAACATCTAGTCCAAGACACCCCATTTTCCAGACAAAAAACAACGGCATGGAACTTGGCCCAGAGCCAATAAACAGCATGTTAGAGGAGAGAACCCAGTTCAGAGCCCTTGGTCAGTGATCCTAAGGCCTTACCTGGAATAGAAACATCGAGGGTGCCCATTTTTAAATCACCAGATATCCTGTTGCCTCTGGAGCGGGAATGGTCATCAGGGATGGACATACCATGTCACCAAGTGGTATATCTTGGATCTCTTGAGTCCAGGTTATACATACAGAGGCAAAGGAAAGATGAAAGAACCGAACCTAATCCAGTCCTCCATGCATATATGCATAGGGGTGAGGCGAGGAAAATAAAGCAGAGAAGGGAATCGAGGGGACCCCTTGTTGAGTTACTGGAGCTTAAGTATGGAAGAGGAAATGTCCAGTTGGTCAGCCCTGTAAAAAACCCTCACCTTCTCCAAGTGCTCACTCAGTGTCTCCTGTGTCCCCCTCTGCTACCACCCACCGAATGGAGGAGGAGGATAAGATGAGGAGTCTGCATTGTAGACAAATAGTCTGGACTGTTTCTGCAGGAAAACATGGCAGGGTTCCAGAGTCTGCCKCTGGCCGTTCAGGATAGAAACCACACCTTGTTAACTCTACTTTCACTAAAACAGCCAGGTAGAGGGGAAGATTGAACACTCCCCACTTGGGAGAGGGTGGCAGGGAAGGAGTTTGCCTGGCAGCGGTGGAGAAGGCAGCAAGAACCCACGGGATCCATCCTGGGGCCATCCTGGGGCTGGGGCGCTAAGAAGAGGCTGCCTCCTTCGCCACCTCCTTTCCCACTTCCCATCCGTCTTCTGACATCGCTGCTCCTGTCTTTCCTTAGTTTCTTTCACCTTTTACAGGGAAGGGACTGGGAAGRGCTGTGTGACATTTACTGCTGTCCCTGCGACAGCCCCCTGCAGACCTCTCCTCCTCTCCGCGTCCCCTCCCCATCTCTCCCCCCACAATGGTCTCTCCCGAGTCCGGGGCGGGGGGCGGGGCGGAGGCGGGGCCGGAGCGTGGTGGCGGTGGGGGGTTGCTGAGGTCTGCAGTGCCGCTTCCCCGCGACCGCGATCGGTCGCCGCTGCCGCCCCAGCCCCGCTGCTGGACCCCCGCCCGACCCGACCCCCGTACCGGGGAGCCCAGGCAGGTGAGACCCTCCTCATCCCTCGCCTCCATCCCGCCCCTGGCAGAAGCATCCTTGTCTTGCAGCCATTTTATCCTCCGAGGCTTTGCTTCTGGGGGGCGGCCGACCCCCGCTCTAGGGGTGGGGGTGTCGGTGATGGACCTGGACCTGCATCCCGCTGTGCCGCTCCGGAGGTGCGCACTATGGAGCTGTGCATGCATGTGCTGAGGAGGGGCGTTCTCTCCCTGGCCGATCCCCACTACCCTCTCTGCGGAGGTTAACCTCGTGGGGGGTTGTTGGGTAGGAGGGGGCTCCCTCAAACTCCAGTCCACTCCTCACTTGGACTGCCCCCCCCCATGAATGATAAATGACCTTGGCTGGGACCAGAGAATGGATGCTGCCTCAGTCTGCTAGCCTGGACTTGGGAGGGTGGGGGGCCGGGAGGAAGGGCAGGTGAAGGATGGAGGGAAGGGGAATGAAGAATGGGACCACCGAGAGCGAAGGACCAGGTGTCGAGGCCCCGTGGAGGGGCTGGAAGGCGTTACTTCTGGTGGTGGGGGTGCCAGTGATGGTGGGCACTTGTCTAGAACCAAGGGTGGGGAGGCCCTGGGAAGAGCCATTCAGTGAATTCTAGGGGCTCATCCCTTAGGGCTGGGGCGGTGGTGGAGGTGGCCAAAAATGCTGGTAGGGGCATTCTCGAAGCCCTTGTGTATGGAGGTGTCTCCTTGTGTCCCTGCCTGTCTGCCTCTCTGTGTGACTGCTCCTGGTGCCTTCTCAGCTGACACCTTCATTTCCCCCCCTCAGAACTGTGGATGCTCCCATCTTCCTAGCGGGGACAGGATGTGGGGAGGGAGGCACAGCCCTGTTGGTCCTGGAGTGGGGGCTGAGACCCAATCACCTAGCTGTCATAGGGAGGGGTGTTCTGGTATCTGCCACATCTACTCCTACCCCCACCCCCAGATGTTTTGATAAGTGGCTGCTTCTTAATGACCTTGTCACCTGAAGTAGGGTGGGCTGGAGATGGGGTGGCCCCCAGAGCCAGGGGGATTGATGAGGGGTGCCAGTTGTCCTGAAGGGAAGCAGTTGCTCAGGAGATCTCCCATCTGCCCTTTACACCCACTGCAGAAATCTGGGCACGTTTTTTGGTCAGGTGAAGCCAGCCAGCCTTAAAGGGACCCGTAAACATGAATCTTGTCTTCTTTAACCTCCAACCTTTGCAAGTGTTGTCTCTTCTACAGGCTTAGCCACTCTGTGCTGCTTTGGGGGCTAAAAATAGCACCACTTCCTCACCAGCTCAAAGAATTTGTCTTCTTCCTCTCCCTCCTGGGTTTGTTGGCCCCAGGGGAGCTGGCTGGTGAGCCCTCCCTACCCCACACGCACCTCTCAGGGGTAAACAGTGTCAACAAACACACTGGATGGCTCCTGGTGGATCCCTCGGCTTCCCTCAGGGTTGGGGGCAGAGCCTGGTGGGAGAGAAAGGAAGGGGATGCAAACTGCCATGCACTGAGGGGATTCCACCGTTCCCTTTCTTTCATGGAGGATGGTTGGGCCCTGAACCACCAAGAAAAGAAGGTGACATAGGGGTCACTGCTTCTGGTCACTGTGGTCCACTGCTTACATCTGTCCTGAGGGGGTAAGGCTGTGATTGCCAGTGCTTCTTTCTGAGTCACATAGCATTACTTACCCTCTTGTACTGGGACTAGATTGTGAGTGTGTGTGTGTGTGTGTGTGTGTGTGTCACATTTAAAGAAGGCCCTGGATGGGTGGGAGCAGAAGAAGGAGCAGAGTATTTTCAAGAGGACGACCTCGGATCTGAATCTGGCCTGCTTCTCCTGTTTCCTGGGACAGAAGGGGGTGAGCCCATGCCGCCCTTTGGAAGATGTCTTTTTTTGGTGGGGGGAGGCCCACGGCCCCCTTCAGTCTCCACCAGCCACCTACGCAATGCGGTATTTGTGGAGTTTTTTTTCCTTGACTCTTGGTGGAGAAGCAGAAAGGATTAGGGGGATTAGGAAGGGAAGAATGAGGTACAACTACAGGCCGCAGACCTCAATGTTAGCAATGTAGGAGTTTGATCAGTCATTTCCTTTCCCACCAATGAAAGGGGCCCCATGTAGGACATTGTGAAGGAAGGTGGCAGCAGCCAGTCACCACTTTTCCTAGCTTTTGATCTTACCTCTTGCCTACTCAGTTCCAAGTCTCCCATGTTTGGATCTTCCCCTGTTTGTCTGAAGGGAGATTCCAGCCCCAGATGCTGGAATTAAACCAAGTCAAAGGGTTCCTGGGAGGGTACTGGGCAGCAGTATCTAAGTGTGACCCCTGCTTGTCCCTGGCTGCCTCCTGTTTCTTTGACACTTACCAATACAACAAGGAGGAAGGAAGACTAACATTGATACCTACTGTGAGATTAAATTCTTATACTGTCACTGAGAAATAGAGATTCTCCCAATTTTATTATCCTCAATTTCACTATAAGGACACTGAGGCTTAGAGAGGTTAAGCAACCTGCCTAAGAACAGTTACCAAGTGGCAGTGCTTGGGATTTCAACTTAGGTGATCTACCTGTCATGCCCTTTGTGCTGAACTAGCATTCCCCTTGATCATGTCCCTTTCTGCAGATCACCCTGAAGAGTATCCAGACATGGCTTTTGTTTGGGGACCTTGTAAGGGAGTACAGGGCATCACACTATGTTACTGTCACCACAATAGTACAAGCTGGTATTTATTTATCACTTTTTATGTGCCTGGTACCATGACAAGGAACTCACATGCATTATGTCAATGAATCCTTACTTTCCCATTTTTAGAGAAGTGGAAACTGAGGCTTGGGTATTCGAAACATGGCTGACTCACTTAGCTAGTGAACACTGAAGCAGAAAGTCACACCCAGGTTCATCTGACTCTGGAAGCTGAGCTTTTACCCGCAGAGCCATGTTGGGAGAACCCTCTCCTCAGGAGGCCTGTAAACATGGAGCCTGAGGGAAGAGCTGTGCCCCAGCTTCAGATGCCAAAAGGGCACTGAGGCAACAGGTGGAGCCTGGGTCTCCCTGCATCCTCCTCAGGCTCCGCCCTCGGCAGGAACCCCAGGCCAGGCTAGAGAAGGGGATTCTGGTTTCTTCCATTTCCTTTTTATCTTTGCAGATTGGGGATGAAATAAGGGCTCTGACTTCATGTGAGGCAGGGTGGAGAAGGGCTCAGGGTAGGGGATGGGAGCAAGTCCCCTGGGCCTGCCCTCCAAGSTCAAGGATCACAGCCATCTCGTCCCGTGTCCTGAGAACATCTCTGCTCCACGGGTCCAGATGGGGCTCTGGGTGGAGAGGGGCTCTGTGTTGGCCTCTGTACCACCCTGGGACTCACCACCTCCTCTTTCTCTCTTCCTTTTCTAGGTCTCCAGAGCTTCCTGGAGGAGAAGCCGTGATCCTGGCCGCCCAGCCCAGCCCCACCAGGCTGGCCCCCTCCCTGGCCCTACCCCCTTCCCCGCTCACCTGCCCGAACCGAGTGTAGACCAGAGTCTCCCTTCTCCCTCCGAGACACTCCCTGGCCAGGCCCGATTTTCTTGGATTTCAAGCCCAGAGATACAGGACCCGACGTCCTCTAAGTATCGGGCAGGGGCGGGGGGTCTTCTGGACTCGGCCCATCCTTGAGCAAGATCCTGAAAGAGCCGCAGAGAGGGAGGCAGACCCGGGGAAGCACCCCAAAGCCCCATCATGGAGGAAGGCTTCCGAGACCGGGCAGCGTTCATCCGCGGGGCCAAGGACATCGCCAAGGAGGTCAAGAAGCACGCGGCCAAAAAGGTGGTGAAGGGCCTGGACCGGGTGCAGGACGAATACTCCCGAAGGTCCTATTCCCGCTTCGAGGAGGAGGAGGACGACGACTTCCCGGCCCCCGCCGACGGCTACTACCGCGGAGAAGGGGCGCAGGACGAGGAGGAGGGCGGGGCCTCGAGCGATGCCACCGAGGGCCACGACGAGGACGACGAGATCTACGAAGGCGAATACCAGGGCATCCCCCGGGCAGAGTCGGGGGGCAAGGGAGACAGGATGGCGGACGGGGCGCCCCTGGCCGGAGTGAGAGGGGACTTGAGTGACGGGGAGGGCCCTCCCGGCCGGGGCGAGGCGCAGCGGCGGAAGGAACGGGAAGAGCTGGCCCAGCAGTACGAAGCCATCCTGCGCGAGTGCGGCCACGGCCGCTTCCAGTGGACACTCTATTTCGTGCTCGGCCTGGCGCTGATGGCTGATGGCGTCGAGGTCTTCGTGGTGGGCTTCGTGCTGCCCAGTGCGGAGAAGGACATGTGCCTGTCTGACTCCAACAAGGGCATGCTGGGTAAGGCACCGCGGGACAGCGACAGGGACCCTCTCCTCCTCCCACTGGGCCCTAGAAGTCCTGCTGCCCAGGAGCACTCAGAGGGCCCGGGAGCCTCCACACACTGTCCCTCACACACAYCCTCCTCTTGGGGTTGGGACAGTAAAGTCGTGTGTGACAGAGGGGCTTGGGAAGGCAGGGGAGAGGGCTGGGGCCAGTGGGTGGCGGTGTCTTCCTGAGTTCTGCAGGAGGTGGCCATGGTAGGAGGGCAGCTGCTTCCCCCTTTCCTCTTATCCTTTCCTCTTGTTATCCTGCTCTCATTCCCTGACTGGGGAACAAGAAGCAGTACTCAGACGCCCTGGTCCAAGTGGGGAGGGTCAGTTTGGGGTGGTGGGCTAGGGACTCCCACATCTCTCACTCAGACTTGGGAGTGTCCAGGGCTGTCTCTGATGGCCTTTCCTGATGGGCACCTCGAAGAGGGAAACYCCTGAGACCGACCAAGAAAGGATCTAGGTCTTGCTGTGTCTTGGACAGGTCTCTTCTCCCTGGGGTTGGGTTTGGGTATGGTTGAAGTGCAAAGTTTGGAATACTTGATTTTTAAGATCAATAATGACTGATTTTATGAAGGAAGCAATAATCTGGGGGAGTTTTAGGACCAGAAGTATGGAGACTAGAAGGAATAAAGAATGGGTTTTGTGTGTAGGATTTCCTGGGAAGATTAAAGGGATCAAAGTCCCATTCGCAAGAAACAGGAGAGACCTTCTGATGTTTCAAGGGCATCAAAGCAGGGAGGGTAGGAAGAGCCCCCCCCACACACACACTCACACACCTGGGGGATATGGGGATACAGGCAGATTCATTCTTTCATCTAGTTGAGCCAGGATGTATGTGTGTGTGTGTGTGTGAGAGAGAGAGAGAGAGAGAGACAGACAGACAGACAGACAGACAGACAGACGGAAATGAGAGAGAAGAAGAGTAAAGCTCGGGGTTTCCACATGTTGCATTCCTGCCTTTGAACCACTGGTCTGTGGAGATGGCCTTCCCTCTTGGCTCACACAATCCATCTTCTGTCGCACGCTCTGGTCTCTGGGTCGACTTAGCTTCTAGAAGTTCTTCAGGTCCTGGGTGTGTCCTGCTGCAGTTTCAGTCCCCTGGTGGGTGGAATCGAGGTGTGTCTGCTCACACCCCTCCTGTGTGTTTTTCTCCGGCTCCAGGCCTCATCGTCTACCTGGGCATGATGGTGGGAGCCTTCTTCTGGGGAGGTCTGGCTGACCGGCTGGGTCGGAGGCAGTGTCTGCTCATCTCCCTCTCGGTCAACAGTGTCTTCGCCTTCTTCTCCTCCTTCGTCCAGGGTTACGGCACTTTCCTCTTCTGCCGTCTCCTTTCTGGGGTTGGGTGAGTGTCTGCATCCTGAGGACAGGACTGTGCTGTGGTCACGGTTAAATCCTGAGGCCTGGCAGTGTCAGGCCCATCAGCTAGGTCTTAGGTATGTGTGGATGGAATGAGTTGCTCTCCGCCCTAATTGTCTTCAGGCTGGCTCCCCTGTGTGCTGCTGTCCAACGTGCTATCCCCGGGCCTGGTCCACTCCGGGGTCCTCCATCCCACTCCTAGTTCTCCTTCTGGGCCTCAGTCTCAACCCTGTGTCCTCGTGACCCTGGAGTTATCACGTACCTCCTGCACCTGGCCGCAGACCTTGCGGTCATCGACATCTCTAAGCGTCTGCCGCCTGTCCTAGCTCTACTGCACTTCCCCAGCCACCCGGAGACCCTACTGCCTTGTCTTCAGGCCCCTTTGGGCTTGCTCCCCAACACCTGCCCCCAGACTCCTCAGGGTCCCTTTTTCCTCTGGAGATTCCCCTGGTCTGCAGTTGTCTTCCCTCCCTCCCAACTCTGGAGTCACCATCAAGAGTCAAAGTTTGTTCCTTCCCTGACTCTGAGACCCACTTGTCTGTTTCCCACTGCCCCAACAATGTGTGCTTGACGGCTGGTGGTGACAGGGTATTGTGGGGCATTATGTGTGAGATGGAATCGCTGAAAAATGAGGTCTAGAGTGAAAGGAGTTTGGGGATCCAGAGCACGGGCAGGGAATAGGGAATCTGGCCACTTTTTAATGCTAAATTCTCAAAATGGCATCCAGGATCGGAGGGTCCATCCCCATTGTCTTCTCCTATTTTTCGGAGTTCCTGGCCCAGGAGAAACGTGGGGAGCATTTGAGCTGGCTCTGCATGTTTTGGATGATTGGCGGAGTGTACGCGGCTGCCATGGCCTGGGCCATCATTCCCCACTACGGTAGGAGCCMTAGGGGCAGCCCTGGACTCCCCTGTGGTGGGAGGCCCCCCACCCCGGCCTCTGACCTCCTGCTGATGCCATGACCCTGTCTCTGCCAGGATGGAGTTTTCAGATGGGCTCTGCTTACCAGTTTCACAGCTGGAGGGTCTTCGTGCTTGTCTGCGCCTTCCCGTCTGTGTTTGCCATCGGGGCTCTGACCACGCAGCCTGAGAGCCCCCGCTTCTTCCTGGAGGTGAAGGGGGCTGTGCTGGGTGAGGGGTGGGGCGGGGGGGGGGGCAACAAGGGCCCCCTGTTGAAACTCTCACGTGGGATCTGTGTGCTCCGTGTGGCTGTTTTCCTTCCTCAAGGATCCGCACTCTGGGGACTTATCTTGCTTCCTTTGCCTTGGAATGTCTCTCCAGAGGGATTCTGTGGGTGGAGAAACGACTCGGTCCAGCCATGTGTGGCTTCAGATTTTGCAGTCAGGAGCCCTGGCCCTGGCCCTGGCTTTATAGGGCACGTTCCTACCCTTCTTCCCCCTCGGACAACACCTGGGTCCCGCAGGGTCAGGTGCTGCCTTTTCTAACTGCGCACTTGCTCATTATCTCCCTTGTCTCTCTCTCCGAATACCAGGGAGTCCCTAGGATCTGTGCTTGCATTTGTCCCCTGCACTCTTGCCCAAGGCTGATTGTGTCTTGCTGGCTCCAGCTGGGGGTGATGCATGCCCAGGGGCTGGAATTTAAGTGCTGTCTGGGGGTGGCAGTCTTTAGATGGGGCAGGGATCTGCAGCCCTGAGTCAGGGGGCTGACCTGACGCTGGGCTCCTGTCTGCGGCTCTAGAACGGGAAGCATGACGAAGCCTGGATGGTGCTGAAGCAGGTCCACGACACCAACATGCGGGCCAAGGGGCACCCGGAGCGGGTCTTCTCAGTAAGCCCCCCAGCAGTCCCCGAAGCCCACGCAGCCTCCGCCCTGCTTGGCCCCTTTCTGTCCACTTTCCTAGACCTCTCCAACCACGTTCTGCCTTGGTGACATTCTCGGGTGTCACAGCCACTCTCTGTCTCCCATTTTGCTACCGCAGGGAAACTGAGGCATTGGACAGGATTGGGAAATAGAGTGTCTGACTGTTCGTCCCTTCCTTTGACTCCAGGTGACCCACATTAAGACGATTCATCAGGAGGATGAATTGATTGAGATTCAGTCGGACACAGGGACCTGGTACCAGCGCTGGGGGGTCCGGGCCCTGAGCCTGGGGGGGCAGGTAATTGGGGATGGGATGGTGGAGAGGGACAGGGAGGGAGGGCGTGGAGAGGAAGGCGGGGCTTGAGCCTGGGTGAGAGGGTGAACAGGAACTGGAGCCAGGTGGTCGGGCGGAACCACGGGGTCTGTATATGCTGGAAGTTAGTGCAGCCTCCTTCTGCTTTTGCTCTGGTAGGTTTGGGGGAATTTTCTCTCTTGTTTCGGCCCAGAATACCGACGTATTACTCTGATGATGATGGGTGTATGGTTCACCATGTCATTCAGGTAAGGAGTGAGTGGGCATGTGCCATGTGTGGTTGTCGTGGTGCATGGACTGGGAGAGAGGTGGGGAAATGGAAACGCAGGGGACAAATCACGAGGGAAGGTGTTGTTCCCATCCCCCGACGCGCCATCCGATTTCTCTACTTCATTCATTCATTCAACAAACATATTGCAGGATGAGCAGAATTAAGTTTCTGTTTTGGGCAGGTACTGTGCTGGACTGAAGTAGATGTGCACAGTCCTCATGGAGTTGACATTCTGACAGAGCTAGATAGAGCAGTGTGATGGTGGCATTGTGGGAACACTTGGGACTTCGGAGTAGGAATCTAAATCCTAAAGAAGGGATGGGAGGGGGGCTGGTGTTGTGGCTCAGCGGTGGAGCACTCGCCTAGCACGTCTGAGGCCCTGGGTTCAATCCTCAGCACCACATAAAAATAAATAAATAAAACAAAGGTCTTGTGTCCAAACGCTTGAGGTGGGTAAGAAGTCCCGTGGGCTGCACACAAGACCACAGAGCGCCTGAAGCACGTAATTGGGAAGGGAGGGATGTGAGACGGGGCTGGGGTGAACAGGGTCCTGATAAAGGCCAGCTCTGTTTCTCCCTCAGTCGGCACCGCCCGGCTCTGATGTCTAATCTGTCCTGATCCCTACCCTTGGTTCTTCAGCTACTACGGTCTGACCGTCTGGTTTCCTGACATGATCCGACATCTTCAGGCCGTGGACTACGCATCCCGCACCAAAGTGTTCCCTGGGGAGCGCGTAGAGCATGTGACTTTTAACTTCACGCTGGAGAATCAGATCCACCGAGGGGGGCAGTACTTCAATGACAAGTATGTGGGGACCTTAGACTTCCCTCCTCCCTGTCCCTTCTACCCCTTGTCTCTGATGAATCTGGGAGTTCAAGACAAGGTGGTCTGGGGCAAATGCCTAGTTCTCGTTAGTGGGGGCTGCCCATTAGCCCACTCAGGAAGTCTTGGAGGAAGAGCCGAGGATGGGGTGAGGGGACTCTCACTCCCCTGGTCTTGCAGGTTCATTGGGCTGCGTCTGAAGTCGGTGTCCTTTGAGGATTCGCTCTTTGAAGAGTGTTACTTTGAGGACGTCACATCCAGCAACACGTTCTTCCGAAACTGCACATTCATCAGCACCGTGTTCTACAACACTGGTAAGGTGGGGAGCTGGTGGGGGCCGCCTGGACACAGGACAGTGAACYTTACTCACTCGTGTTCAACCTGAAGCCCTCAGGAGCCCGGGGGGAAGCTGGCCTGGGAGCTTCGTGGCCACTACCGACAATCTGGAAAATCCAATGCGTAGTGGACATTTTTCTGTGATAGAATATCTGACAAAGATATCAAGTTCCTTTGCTTTTGGCTGGAATCATAATAATTCAGTGTATTAAATATATATATWTTTTTCAGTACTGGTGCCCTTTACCACATAACCACATCCTTTTTATTTTTTTCTTTTGAGACAGGCTCTCAGTAAGTTGCTGAGGGTCTTGCTAAATTGCTGAGGCTAGCTTTGAATTTTCAGTCCTCCTACCTCAGCCACCTGAGTTGCTGAGATTACAGGCATGTGCCACAGTGCCCACCAGTGTATATAAACACACACACACACACACACACACACATATATATATATATATATATATATATATATATATATATATATATATTTTAGACTTTATATATATATACACACACACACACACACACACACACATATATATATATATATATATATATATATATATATATATATATATATTTTAGACCAGGGGCGCTTCACCACTGAGCCTCATCCCCAACCCCTTTTAATATTTTATTTAGAGACAGGGTCTGACTAAGTTGCCTAGGGCCTTGCTAAGTTGTTGAGGCTGGCTTTAAATTGGTGATCTTCCTACCTCAGTCTCCTGAGCCTCTGGGATTACAGACGTGTACCACCGTACCTGGCTACTTTTGAAGAAGGCAAAAATAGTTCAAAACAGGATCCCCGGGGGRAAAAAAAAACAATAAAAAGGATATTTGATGGGGAAAAATGTTGGGAATCATTATATTCATGTACTTCTTTAACAGCGATTCTCAAACTGTATGCACACAAAGTGCCGTCCTTGTGAGCTAGATTGAGGAATCACACTTATACACGGAGCATTGGGTGAACTTTCCCACCTTGCAGAAAGAAAATAGTAGATAGGATTTTTGGTTCTTCAGCTACTACGGTCTGACCGTCTGGTTTTTTCCCTAGAAAAAGATTTGTAGACCTAGGTAGTGTGATTGCTCCTGGTCGGCTCAGGTGAACACAAAGAACAGCCAAGCAATGGGGACCTTGGAAACAGTCAGTGTTTGGCTATGGTCATTATCTTTCATACCAATTCCTAGTTCCCATGTGATGTTTTTCACTGTTTTGCAATGAGTGTCTGGACACATTTTGAGAGCCCCCTCCTGCGAAACCCCACAAAACCGCGGAGCCCTGAGCCAGGAGCAGCGGCCGCCTCTGTCTCCCACGGCGTGACCGCCTGCCTGGTCTTGGCCTCCCTCCGCAGACCTGTTTGAGTACAAGTTTGTGAACAGCCGTCTGGTGAACAGCACATTCCTGCATAACAAGGAGGGCTGCCAACTGGACGTGACAGGGACAGGAGAAGGTGCCTACATGGTGTACTTCGTCAGCTTCCTCGGGACCCTGGCAGTGCTTCCTGGAAACATCGTGTCTGCCCTGCTCATGGACAAGATCGGCAGGCTCAGGATGCTCGGTAAGGGCAGAGGCGCGTGCTGGCGGTCTAGGTCGGAGCGTGCAGGGGAGTCAGGGGCTGGGGGACTGTCGTCAGCCTCTCCTCCGGTTCTCTGAAGAGACCGGCCAGAGGCCTTCTCTCTCTCACATTTGCTCTCCAGGGGCTGCTGCAGGAATGGGAGGGCCTGACCCAGAAGCTTCTCGGGGATACAGGAGGCAGGCRGAGTAGCAGGACAGATAGGGCCCAGGCTGTGAGGTTAGGAGTAGGAGTCTCAGCTGCACTGCCACCTAGGCAGGTGGCCTCGTGAGCCTGGCTGTCTGGTGCCACAGGGGAGTGACACCTGACCTGGCTCCTGGTGTTGATGTATTAGACTGATGCATGTCAACCAGCGTCAGGCAGCTTGGCCCACAGTCAGCACTGAACCACGAGGGCTAGTGATGCTGTTGATAAACAGATAATGACAGGGACGCTGGGGACAGGTGAGAAGCCCTCCTTTGGCTGCCTTGGGAAAATAGTCTCGTGCTGGGCGGCCTCGGAGCTGCCGATGGCACCAACCGATGGCACTGCGGCCAGCTCATTCGCTTTCTCCTCTGGCTCCAGCCGGCTCCAGTGTGATGTCCTGTATCTCCTGCTTCTTCCTGTCTTTTGGGAACAGCGAGTCGGCCATGATTGCTCTGCTCTGCCTTTTTGGGGGGGTCAGCATTGCATCCTGGAACGCGCTGGACGTGTTGACCGTGGAACTCTACCCTTCGGACAAGAGGTAGCTGGAGTGTGGAGGGGGCAGGGCAGTAGGCTGAGGGCCCAGAGGGCAGGTGAGAAGTGGTGTGAAGAAGAGGGCAGACTAGGAAGAGCACCTTGAGGGGTGGGAGGGTACAGTTCCCGTGGAATTACTCTTCTAAGGGCTGGTAGCTTTCGGCCAGGGGTGGTGGCGCATGCCTGTCATCTCAGTGACTTGGGAGGCTGAGGCAGGAGGATCACAAGTTTGAGGCCAACCTCAGAAGCTAAGCAAGGCCCTAAGCAATTTATTGAGACCCTGCCTCAAAATAAAAAATCAAAAAGGACTGGGAACGTGGCTCAGTGGTAAAGTACTTCTGGGTTTAACCCCCAGTACCAAAAAACCCACCAACCAACAAAAAACCCAGCTGGTAGCTTTTGTATCTGCTCCTGGTGGTCTTGAATGTTAACCTCGTTTTTTGATCTCTTTCCCTCCTTGTCCCCTCCCTCTCCTGCCTCACCATCCTTCCTTCTCCCTCTTGCGCACTGCCTCCATCTTCCTCCACTTCATCTCTGCCCGCCCGCTCTTCCCTGCCTCACTGYGGGGCCCTGCCCTCCGTGGCACTGGGACTCCTGGGCAGGACCACGGCCTTTGGCTTCCTGAATGCCCTGTGCAAGCTGGCCGCCGTGCTGGGGATCAGCATCTTCACCTCCTTTGTGGGGATCACCAAGGCTGCCCCCATCCTCTTCGCCTCGGCCGCCCTCGCCCTCGGCAGCTCTCTGGCCCTGAAGCTGCCCGAGACCCGGGGGCAGGTACTGCAGTGAGGGGGTCTCTGGGGCTTTGGGGGTGGCAGGCACACTGTGAGACCCACAACTCCCTTCCTTCTCCTCCCTGACCTGCCATCCTGGACCCCGGAACCCTGCTCCCGGTTCCCTGTGTGTCTTGGCTGTGTGTGTGCGTGTGCATGTGTGTGATCCCCGTGGGCAGGGACTGCAGGGAAGGCTCTCCGCCCAGTTTGGGGGTGAAGCACTACTCCTCACCTACCACCCTTGACTTTGCACAAGAGAAGGCTGAGCCCCCCTCCTCTCCCCAGTGTGAGTGAGGGGCCCCTGCTTCCCTGCCCCCTCCCCTCGTCCCTCAGCCTAGGCCCTTGTGAAGTCACGGGTACGCAGTGATCTCGGGGGCTGAGGCCGGGGTGTAGATCATGGACCAAAAGAACCTGGGGTCCGAGGGCCGAGTGTGCCCTCTCACACCTCCCAATGGATGCTGGGGAGAAGCAATAAACCTCAGCCCTCTGGCCTCCACTTTTCCCTCAGTTTGGGCTGTAAACCTGAAGCCTGAATTTTATGGAATTACTTTCTGATTCTTATTTATTTATATATTAAGTTCTGAGGCAGCTTAGACTGTGTGTGAATATGTGTGTACACTTGTGTGTGTGTGTGTATGTGCCAAGGGGGGGGTGTCACTCTACTGTCCTAAAATCTAAGCTAAGGGTCATTTCAACGACACACACACACAACCCTGCCTCCCGCAGTGCTCCCTCATCTTGTCTCTGGGGCCTGGGAGGGAGGAACCTGGGCCGTGGGGATGAGTCTGCATTCTAGGGGGGCCTGAGGGCACCTGGGGAGGCCGTCGCTGCCCGTCCCCTCAAGCCTGGCCTCTCCTGGAGTAGGAGGAGCACAGTGCCCCCCCTCCATCCCCAGCGGGTCCCCTCACTGGCAGGGGGCCGGGAGGAAGGGAAGACAGGCCTGTGGTCCAGCAGACCCCAAAGCACAAGGCGCTGGGGCAGGGGCAGGGGCAGGAAGCGGGGCCCTCCTGGCCTCTTCTCTACAAGTGGGGGAGGCTCAGCAGCAAGTGAGGGGCCCTAATGCGGGGACCAGAAGCCTCAGTTTCCCCTTCCCACCCTCCACACAATAGCCTCTGTAGGTTAGGCTGCCCTGTCCACCCTAATACGTGCGGCTGCTTTCTTTGGTGCCCTCTTCCCACCCTACCGTAGCTGTGATGTGTCGTAGTTTTTAGCTGTTTGTAAAATGTTTAAAAAAAGTTAAAAGGAAAAAGTGAAAATAACAACAGGAAAATCCAGATTCACCCTCCTCATGCTGCGTCTGGTGCCCTCACCCTATGGTCACTCTCCTATTTTGTGACACCGACCAGGTGGTGACTGTTTGGTGTCTGTGCCCAAAGGATTGCCTTCTCCTCCAGTGCCCAGYGTACGAGTGTGTGCCCCCTTCCCTCACCCCTCACTTGCTGGACGTAGCCCCCTCCCGTACCCTCCAGGAGACCCATCCATCTTCCTCGCTCTCCTGGGGAACCCTAAACCCATCTCTGTTGATGTGAAAAATGAACAATACTGGTGAAAAATAAAAGGAAATAAATCCTCAAAATCCAAAATGGCTGTGTCGCCTTCTTTGCCTCTGCCTACATCTAAGTCCATTCTGAGAGTCCCGGAAGGGTAAATGGTGGTGGAAGAACAATGTCCACCTCCCATCTGGAGGCCAGGGTAACCAGAGGTATCATACTCCCCATCGCGACCTTTCCACCTTGGAGAGCCCTGTCAACTCTCCTGGGTTTGAAAACAAGGAATGATTCCTCCAAACCTTCTGGTGTGCCTTTGAAAACAGATTCCAGACTCTACTCTTGACTTGTGGGATCGACCCCCCCCCTTTTTTTTGGTGGCAGGGAAGGCCTCAAATTTACATTCTGAACAAGATTCCTTAGGAATCCTTCCCTGTGAAGAAATCTGAAATGCACTACTTGCAACTGATCTCAAACTCCCCTCTCACTCTAGTCCACTGCCTTTCTCATCAAACCATTTTCTGATTTTATAGTACCTCTCGGGTCAACGACTTTATTTTCCATCCCCACAGATGCCCTCCAAGCCAAGGTCCGACCTCCACTCCTGATCCATCTCTGCCTCCAATTTCCCATGCCAACCCCCACAGATGTCACTGCTAGATCAGTCGTGTTTCCAAATGCTCTTTGGCATGCCCATACTCAAAATTCTTCAATGACTCCCTACTGCCCAACCAGATGCAGTCTAAAAATTTTTTTAAAAAAATTTTAATATTTTTTAGTTAGAGGTGAACACAGTATTTTTTAAATTATTATTATTTTTTAAGGTGGTGCTGAGGATCGAACCTAGTGCCTCACGCATGCTAGGCAAGTGCTCTGCCACAACCCCAGCCCCAGTCTAAAAATTCTTTAGCCAGAAATTATCAAGATACATGTTAACCACACTTTTTCTCTAATAATTTACACATTGAGATGATAAGAAAGCTGCTTATGTAGATATTACTTGAGCTCCCCTCAGAAATATGATGTAATGTTGGTAAGGCTCATACACAAAAGGGCTAAAYAAAGGTTTCTGTCTTCTGTAATTATTCTCTAGTTGCCCCCACCCCCCACTTGAGTGGTTTTTTTAAAAGTTTTTTTCTTTTTTCCTTATAAGCAAACACTTTTTGGAAACTGACCGGCTGTTAAAAAGCCAAACGTTACACCCATACGAAATTCAAATATGTTCCTGCCCATCACCGCTGCCTTGACTAATATCTGCTCAGTCCAACCTCTAACCCTTTGCTGAGGTTCTTTCCCCTGCTTGAAACACCTTTCCTCTCTTTTCTGGTTTAATTCCACCTTTCTTTAAAGATCAAACTAGTTCACTTTCCCCATGAATCCCTTTTTGACTTCCCTAGTCTACAAATATTTTTTTTTTCTCAAGAACAACTACAACAGCCAGGTGCAAGCAGCACAGGCCTGTCATCMCAGCGACTCTGGAAGGGGAGGCTGAGGCAGAGGMAGAGGACCACAAGTTCAAAGCCAGCCTCGGCCACTTAGCAACATCCTGGCTCAGTGGTCAGAAGCCTCRCCAGTACCAAACAAAACAAAACACCCAACTGTGGCACCAATTCAATAGCCACTAAGAACACAGCGATGCAGTCCTATGGTAATTGCTTTTAATGCACAGGGCAGTTTCCACCCCTCAGGACTGGTGTAGTTCCTTCCCGCAAGTCAACACGAACAGCAACAGCTAGGCGGTCCTTCCTCAGCACACAGGAAGCGCAGTGGCGGGTGGCCGCCCTTCCTGGGCTAACTGGTGTGACCCCGGCTTCTCTCTTTGGAAATGGGAGTGTGCCAAGGGGATGGGACACCCCTAAAGGTCACGGCAAGGCGGTCGTGGTTCACTAGCTGACCCCATCCGCCCGTTCGGACGCCGTCCTCCCCCTGAGCTGGTGTCAGGGAGTGTTCTTGCTCTTCTTGCTCCCACCCAGGCAGGGGGGGCTTGTGTCCAGCTGCGGGTTCTCCCGCCACTGGGCGGGGGTCCGGGCCTGGATGGCCAGAGCGTGGACCGGCCCGGCCAGCTCCTCCGACAGCGCCGCGTGGACCAGCCGGAACCGCTGCAGGGCGCTCAGTCCCTCGAAGCGCGAGCTCACCACGGCCACGCGGAAGTGCGTCTCGCTGCCCGGCGGGACGGCGTGGCCACCGCTCTCGTTGCGCAGCTCCAGCACCTCGGGGCTCAGGGCCTGCTCCAACTTCGCACGAATCGCTGCCTCGACCGGACCCACGGCCCCGGGTCCCGCGCTGCCGCGGGACAAGCCGACGCGGGTGGCCATGGAGACCAGGCGCTGGAACCGGTGTCCACTCGGTATCGGCATCCGCTAGGACGGAAACGCAGACCGAGAAGTGAGGGCAGGGCCGCCGCCGGCCAGCTTCCGGCCTCCACGACCCTCGGCCCTCCCCACGACAGCCGCCCCGGGTCCCGCAGGGGGCGCGCCGGGACCCCAGACTCGGCGGCCCCCGCCCGCCCCCAGCTGTGTGACGCGTGCGCGGGCCGCTGGGTACCGGCAGCGGAGGCTCGAGGGCGCGCTCGTCACTTACGGGGTCGGGGAAGGAGCCTAGAGGCCGCAGAGGTGGCCACGCGCACTCCGGGCTTTGGTGGAGCTGGTGGCCCGGGCACCCGCGGCGYCCCGGGGGGGCCTCGCTACCTGCAGCCGAGCCGCGGCGACGTCGGACCGCGTCCTCGCTGCGCGCTGCGGGCCCCGCGGGCGTCACGTGGTGCCCGGGGGCTCCTGGGACCTGTAGTTCCGCGTGTCCCTGCGGCCGGGCGGGGCTGCTCCTCGGCGCAGGCCCCGGGCCTCGCGGCTCCGCCTCCGGCTCCCACTCCCTGCGGGAGGCGCGGGGCCGGGCCGYGGCCCGGGGGCGGCGCGGGGTGGAGCCCCAGCTAAGGCGGTGGGAGGGTCGCGCGCTTCTCCTTTGGAGGGGCCGGGGTACCGGGGGCTCCCAACCTCTGAGCCGCATCAAGTTTTCAGTAGATAGGTAAGAAGATGAGCTTTTCCCAAGGGGTACACTTGATTTTTATTTAGTATCCCTAATATTGTATGTTTATATACTGCTAAATCTTCTCATTTTGAAACAATTCGCACAGAAGAGATGAATAGTACAAAGTGATACTTCCACCTTTCACTAGACCCATGATTTATACATATATTTAAACGTATATTTACATTYTTAAGTACTTGATGTATACTTTTAAAATAGACATGTGACTGTACCATTTGAAAATAAGTTGCCCATAGCATAATATTTCACTCTTAAGTACTCCAATTTGTATCTCCTGAGGACAAGAATATTCTCTTCATAACCTTAATACCCAGTCACACTCAAGAAATTTAGATTAAATAGTGCCATATCTTTTCCCTAGCCTTTCAAAAAATTTAAACTTTCAGGAAAGGTTTCTTGTGCAATAGGAGCCCATGTACCTACCCTTTTCCTAGATGAACTGATAACCTTTTACCAGAGTTGCTTTGTGTTTCTTTAAATATGTGTATGAATAATAACATTAATAAAATAAAATGTTTTATTTTGCTGAGTCACTTAAGTTAGATAAAAAAATTTTTAAAATCCACTGCTATGTACACTGACCCTCACTCTGCATCTCCTTTCCCCCATAACCACGATACCATGACCCCACTCAAGGGATTAGCTATTCATATAATGCTATTATTATTTATTATTTTAATTTTTTAGTTGTAGATGGGATAACTTTATTTATTTTTATGTGGTGCTGAAGATGGAACCCAGTGCCTCCACATGCTAGGCCAGCGCTTTACTATTGAGCTACAAGTGCAGCCCCACTATTATTTAACATAAAGTTAATAGTCAAATTTCCTCAATCGTCAGGGGCGGGAGTTATGGCTCAGTAACAGAAGGCTTGCCTAGGATGGTGGAGGTCCTGGGTTCGATCCTCAGCATCACATTAAAAAACAAACAACAAGAGCTGGGGATGTGGCTCAAGCGGTAGCGCGCTCGCCTGGCATGCCTGCGGCCTGGGTTCGGTCCTTAGCACCACATACCAACAAAGATGTTGTGTCCGCCGAGAACTAAAAAATAAATATTTTAAAAAATAAATAAATAAATAAATAAAATAAAAAAAACAAACAACAAATAAATAAAGGTTAAATTCTTTTTAAAAAATTTCCTCAGTTGTGTCATTAGTGTCTGCTGTGGCTTCAATATGTCCCTTCAAATTTGCATAGAAACTTAATCTTTTTTTTTTTTTTTAATATTTAGTTTTTAGTTGTAGTTGGACACTACTTTTATTTCACTTATTTATTTTTTTATTTGGTGCTGAGGTTCGAACCCAGGGTCTCACACATGGGAGGTGAGTGCTCTACGCCTGAGCCATAACCCCAGTCCCTAGAAACTTAATCTTGATTGTGGTGGTATTAATAAGTGGGGCCCTTAAGAGGCTACTAGGCCTGAGGGCTATCATAAACAGAGTAATGCCTGACAATTGATCTTGAGGGGGCAAGTTTATTTTTTCTCTCCCTTCTGCCCCGTAAAGACACCAAGATAAAGCCATCTATCACTACCAGATAGTGAACCAGAGAGCACCTTAGTCTTGAACTTCTCTTGTCTCTAGAACTGTGAGAAAATAAATTTTTTTTATAAATTACCCAATCTGTGGTATTTTTGTCATAATGAAAGGGTAAAGTTTCTAAGCTGCAAAGYCTGAGTTAAAATGTAAAGGACCAGGCATTGTAAAGCTGCTTCTAAACTGCAAAGCCTGGGTTAAAAAGTAAAGGACTAGGTATTGTAGAGTTTCTGAACTGCGCACAGAACCTGAAATTCCTAAGGCAGTTAAGACAATGCCCTACTGGCCATTTAGTTGTTTAATAACTTAGGACCCTGTGTAGCCCGGCACGTAGGCATCCAGGGCCCAAAACCAATCAGTTTGAATGTGTACCCCACTTAGGAGTGACCAATCACCCCCGCCCAGCCTGTTCCCGCCAATGAATGTACTAATCATGTCTAAGAGTTGTTGTTTGATTTTCCCCCCCGCACCTCATGATGATTTGTTCTGATGTATGCAAAGCCCCCGCCCTCCCCAAAAAGTTTACTTAAGCACTGCTCAACCCTTGCCCGGGGCTCTGGGCTGCTCTCCTTTCTTGAGTGGGCACGGAGCCCCAGCATGCTGGATCAATAAATCCCCTTCTGCCAATTGCATGAGTGGTCTCTTGGTGGTCTCTTTCTCCAATGCTTCGCTGGACCCTTACAATAGCAATACAAATCGACTAAGATGGTGTCCTTTATGATGTTTAATTTAAATATAATGCAATCAAGGATCATGCATTATATTTAATTGACTTTACATTTGTATTTGCAAAGACCACTGACTGGAGGGTGGAGAAAGGATTGTAGAGGAGGTAAAGGAAGATGCTCATAGATCACTTGGAAGGTCTTGTAGCAGCCTACATGACAGATGATGATGACTTGAACCAGGGCAGTGGTAATGCTGGTCCTGGTGGAAAGGGAGAGAAATTGTGACCACAAATACATATATTAGGAGAGAAAACCCCTCAGGTTATGGTAATGGATGGGTTATGAGAAGGGAAGTAATCCAGGATGATTATCAGGTTCATGCATTTGAAGTTATAAAAATAGTACAAATCATTTCTATATATCCTTTGCCCTGATACCAAGGTTACCCAAATATTAACATTTACCATTACATATGTAATTTTTTCCCACTTGAGAGTAAGTTTTAGAAATAAAGCACATTTACCTCTTAACTCCCTGTGATGGTACATTTTATGTGTCAGATTGACTCAGTCATGGGCACCCAGATATTTGGTCAAATGTTGAGAGCCACAGCCAGGTCAAGATGGTGCCTGGCATTTTGCCAGAAGGAGTGGTTCCTGCTGCCTCCGGTGCCCGCTATTTTTGAGCTCTCACGGAGTTCCTAGAGAGTTCATGTGGGTGGAGTTCCCGGGTTGAGTTCAGGTTGAGTGCTCGAGAAGTTCCTGAAGTTCCAGTGGAGCTCGAGGGGAGTTCCTGGAGAGTTCCAGTGGGCAGCAGGCAGCGTGAGTTCTAAAAATAAAGTTTGTTCCTGCTTGAATCTTCAAGTGGCTCGGGATTTGTGCCCAGCCAGACTGCGGCCTATGGTGGCCCCCACGGGGAATGCCTGAGGGTAAGTGATAAGGTAAACTGCTCACCCCTGAGGGCAGTGGGAGAGGATGGGTAGCCATTTAAAGATTCTTCTTTCCTTTTGTTTCGCTTTTGTTTTAAGTTGCCCGTCCCTGGAGATGGGTGGGAAGGAAGAAACCGCTCACATCTGAGGAACTGATAGGGAGAAAGGACGGATGGACATTTCAGGAGGATAGAAAGGCTCATATAATGAATTTTTGTTCCATTTTTGTTTCATTTTGTCTCAGTTTTCTTTTACATTATCTTAGTGAGGGGTATCTTCGTCACGGAAATATGGAATTAAAAATTAATAAGAACCAAACCGAAAGGGCTTTAAGTAAAGTGCTAGAGGAAGGAGGCATCTCAGTAAAATCAAGAACAGTTAGGGCATATGTTAAGATGATACAAAGGTGTAGCCCATGGTTCATTAAAGAGGGGTTGTTAAATATATCACAATGGAACCATCATGGTGAAGATTTAAAAAAGATACAAAAGGAAAGCCCAGGAACTCTGCCAGTTGGCACATTACCATTATGGATGTTGGTACAATCTTGTTTGCCTAGTCTAGGAGAAGACATCTTACATTGAGTAAAAGAGGAAGTCTCTTGAGTTAGTCAGACAAAGGAAAAAGTTTAGAGGAGGAAGGGCTATCAGGGGAGAAATTACAACGGGAGGTTGCTACTAACCCCTTTCTATCACCGGGGGGTGTGGGTGTCCAACCAACAGCTCCACCTATGGAGACAACATATGCTGAGTGGCCCTCAACCCCCATAGTTGATAGATGGGATCCTGAGACAGGACCTCAAAGATTAGCATGCCCTGTATTTGAGGAGGCAGGAGGGCAGTGAATTTACCATGTTTTAGATTTCAAAACAGTGAAGCAGCTAAAAGAGGACGTAACAACCTATGATCCTCAAGTACACTTCACTGTAAGCATGGTCGAATCCATTACCAACTTGGACGTGACACCAGCAGATTGGACTAGTATGTGCAAAGCTGTGCTAAATGGAGGACAATACCTGTTATGGAAGGTTGCCAATCAGGAATTTTGCACGGAGACGGCTAGGTGAAATGCAGCAGCAGGTTATCCTCAGAGAAATCTAGATACGTTGCTAGGAGAGGGACCTTATGAGGGTCAGCTGCAACAAGTTAAATATGATCCTGCTAAATACTCACAAATCACTTCAGCTGTGGTTAGGGCATGGAAAACTTTATAGGGGCATGGAGATTTACAAGGTCAATTATCTAAGGTAATACAAGGAGCTAATGAACCTTACCCTGAATTTGTAGATAGGCTTATTCAAACAGCTACCAGAATCTTTGGGAATGTAGAACAAGCGATGCCATTAATAAAACAACTAGCCTACGAACAGGCAAATAGATGGTGCAGGGAGGCCATTAGACCATGGAGACATGGAGATTTAAATACATGTATTAAATTATGTAGAGACATTAATGAACAAGGGCAAGTCTTGGCAGCTACTGTACAACAGGCTTTAGGTGCCAGGCCAAAAAACATGCTACAATTGTGAACAAACAGGACATTTTAAAAGGAGTTGCCCCATAGGAGGAGGGTTTAACAA